CCGCAAGTCAGTTTCAGCTGTCAGTCATGAAGTTTGAACATTTCAACCTAAACCAGTGGGATAAGAGATACCTGAAATGACAGCAACCATCTCTTCTTTAAGTTTTTAGTAGATTCCATGTCCCATCCACTAACATGAAGGAGGCAGGAGTTATGGTGACGATTTAGAAGCTTTGGCTTCAAAGGCTTTTGTTTCACCTCCATGTCGTCCATCTTTTTATACAGACTCAGTCTGTACTAAGACCACAGCTTATTAAACACCCACAATCCAATGTAACTCGTTTCTCGTCAGCTCCGTCAGTGAAGGTTTGTCATTTAGAACAATGTGCTGCTGGTTGTGTCATCTTCTTTTATTCTTGAGATGGTGGAATGACAGGAACCTTAGTGGAATATTCTTCTTACAAAATATCAATCACAAAACTCAGCGTCAGAGGTTTCATTTGAAGTACAACAAAATGTGTGCAATATTTGGAGCAATGAGAACTGGCATAAAACAAGGACTCAGTAAATTTTACTTCCTGTTCAACATTTATAGCTGCCTGATGGCTGCTGTGATAGATCCGTTTATTCCACCGGTATCTAGAAGATTTAAAATATTATAATACCATGATGGCGCTATCTCGGTTTATAGGGATATTAAATGCAAATTCTGTTTAAAGGTGGACATGGCTTTTAAATTGTGAGTGTGACTCATTATGTACTTGCAAGAGGTAAATTTATGTTCCCACTAGATCGCACATAAACGCAGATCAATGCATAGCACGGCAGGTCTGACTCATGCAGCCACTATTTGTATTCTGGGACATCGTTGCCAAATTAAACTTAAAACTTAAGTGTTGGGGAAACACATTTATCCAAAATGACCTTGTAAAATAAGTGTAGAGATAATTCAAAGTGACATGAAAAGGAAAGGTTTATCATCAGGAGAGGAAATGCAGGGACGAGCATGAAAGTATGGAAGGCTATAACTCGATTTACAGTGGTTCATTTGGCTGAACTCAGTCAGTACAACATCACACGTTACAAACTGCAGCATCTTTAACTCACTGAAAACAAAAACTACCAGCCCGTCAGTCCACGTGTGTGTGTGTGTGTGTGTCTTAGTATTCTATGGTGATGAGCCTCACTCCTGCCCAGGGGACAACTCAAGCAAACAGGGTGCAGGGACTTTGACGCCAAATGTGTGTGAGGTGCATCACAAAGCTGGTTGGAGTGTACACAGGTGTTTAATACTGCATTTGCCTGCAAAGTCTGTCTCACTCTTTGTCACACACACATTAAAACAAACGCACCCAGACACACATACAATATGCAGTGCAGTTATTTTTATCACTTGCAGACATGGCAGCAATTGTAAATTCATTTCTGTGCTTGAATCTCTGTGTAACAGGCTGCAGCAGCAGCAGGTTTCATAACTTTCAAATATGACGTATGCAGCGCAGACTGATACTTGATGTTTGAAAGGGTTACTCCATGTGAAAGGTCACCTGTGCTGCTGTGCACACACGTGTCTGCACATGCACACGCACACAAAGAGTCACTGTAGGGCAGATCAATGACAGCCTACTCTCCAAGCTGTCAGTGCTATTCTGCGGTTTACCTGCAATTTCCCCCTGGGTTTCCACCTCTGCAGATCGACTGGTACATGGAACAGTAATGACTTACACACCAAGACAAACAGAGGCACTGACATGACAATGACAAAAGTAAACCTGTGAAGTGCTTCCATGTGACCAGATGCAGAAGATTATACAACCAATCCTTCTCAGTCTGATTTATAGATGTGTGTTTGTATGTGGTTCTCCTTTGAGATCCAAGCTGTGTCAGCGTTCAGCTCAGGTTCCAGGCTGTTATACAAATCTTTATCTTACTCTGTTATTAATTAACAGAAAATATTCTGAACTGGGTGGCACGGTAGCGCAGTGGTTAGTGGTGCCACTGGTTGGAAACCAGGGAGTTTGAATGTTCTTCTCATGTCTGTGTGGGACAAACACATACACACTGGGCTCAAGTGAATTCGGAACTTATCAGTGAGTTTCTCTCCATGTGTTGACCCTGTAGTTAGTTTATTCCTTCATTTACACTGATCATGATTATTTCACACTCATACGTCTCCCTGTCACAAGACATTAAGGTCAATCAGTTTACCCCAGCTCTGGGCCACGACCCCTGTTTATAAAGCTGCAGCCTACAAACTGCAGTGTTTTGCATAACTCATCCTCAGTTGCATCTGATCCAGACTCAACTCCTGTTGTGTTCGTTTTTGTTTGTTCGTTTTGTGTGTGTTGGGTTTTCGGTTGATTCTCAGCGCTCTTTGGGGACAACTCCTGCGAATCCTCGTGGGTTTCTGTCTTTCTCCCGCTCAACTGTTATGTTTGGTGTCTTTGTTTTTATGTCAAGGCTTCTAAATAAACCATGATCTATATCTAAGCTCCCGAGGTGACACAAGCATGACGCTGTAACCCAGCAGGTCTTTTGAGTTGTGCATATGAGATAAAACCAAGTCTGAGGTGAAGCATCCATGCAGAATGTGAATCCAGGACCGCAGTCAGCGGGGCGGGCCCACGCACATTCTCAGTGTGTGGCTGATAGCTACGGTGCAGAAATCTGGAGTCATGCTGGCGCTAAATATAGACAAAGGTTTTATGTAAGCTGAGGTGAATCATCCCATTCCACGTTTTAGCGCATTTAATCGCACACACACTGCATGAGTGACAAGGCACAGGTGAAGAAAACACACGGATGTGAGACATCTGCAATACTCATTACATGAGGTGGTTTGAAGAAGTGACAACACAGCATATGCCCGCTGTCTGCCTGCTGAAAACATGCATTTACATAAACAAGAGCGTGTGTGTGTTTGCATGCACATGTGTGTGTTCCTCCAGGGCCTACAATGAGCAAGGTTATTTGACTGTGTTGATCAAAGCCTTCGTGTGATTGATTGGATGTGTGTGGAATGGCTGGAGGGTTGTCCTTCACACGAGCATTGCAGTGTTTTGTAAGGAAAGCAGATAATGGATCAGTGTGGCTGAACAACACACCCAACATCTGTATGAGACAGGTTATACAGATGTGGTCGTCTTCTCACTTGGGTTCACACACTTTACTTTACCTTATGAGTTTCACCATCAGCATGTGTAGAGGGGACAGAAAGAGTCAGGGGCAGGTCGGTCTGGATCCAGGCTAGAGTCAGAGCACACTAACAACAAAGCCCTGGTTATTGATCTTGTCTGCCGCAAAATAATGAAGAGGGGAAATGTTAAAATTAGCTATTCCAAGTGAAGACTGTGGGACGAGGGATAGGGGAAAGGATGGGGGGCTCGAAATGGGAAGGATGTCGTTCACAGAGGTGAAGAAGAGCACAGAGAAATACTGAGAAAATGAGGGGGGAGAGGGGGGAGAGTGGAAAAAGGTGGCAGATATTATGAGGATGGCAAAAAGAAAAGGAGGAATTCGACTGTGCTCATCAAGACTAAACCAAATCTGCTCCTGCTCCTTCAGAGAGCCCCCTCCCCCCCCAAATTACACACCTGTGTGTGTCTTAGAGAACCCACGACAGCCTGATAACGTCGCACAGCCTTTGTTTTCACTAGAACCTGTTCACTCACAGACATTCCTCACATCCTCCATTCCTCTTCTCTCTCCATTTCTCCTTATACACATTGCCCTCTGTTACATCAGATTAGATTATAAAAACACACAAGCCCCTCAAACACAGACACACACACAAATTGTGCCTGGCTGGAACCACTGCAGAGATTTACATCTCGTCCTTGATTTTGATTTTCCTGTCTGTGCCATGCACGAGCCCAACACACTGTGGTGGACAGTAAGAGGTGAATAGAGCTGTCAGGTTGTATAAAGGGTTTCTGTGTAAGACATCACTTCAGTATCTTCTTCAAAGTCTCAGGTTGAATCACCTTCAGCTCAATTCAAGTTTGCATTGAATCATGAGAATTCACAGTGAAACTTCACAGAGGAACTTCACAGTGAAACTTCACAGTGACGATCATTTGCTGAAGTCAAAAGCGACAGTAGCCAATGTGTGACCAGAAACATTTTCCCCACAAGCTTCTTCCAAATTGCATTAATATAGCAATGGCGACATCTGGTGGCTAACACAGCTAGTTATCTATATTCTTGGGTCTGTGGGTGGTATTGCTGAGCATGTGCATCCATTTATAGCCACAATTGACCATATTCTGAAGGAAACTTCCAGCATGAACAGTCACGTCACAATAAAGGTTTCATGAACGTGAAGATGTGTTCAGTGTGTTTCAGTGGCCCCCCCACTCATCAGAACTGAATCCAGTATATTCATTTGGGATTTGAAGTTTGATGATTCAGCAGAAATCATGTGATGTAGTCATCATTTCAACATGGAGCAGAATCGATAAGAAAAGTTTCCAACATTTTAGTTTGTCTGGGGTTATGAGTTATTGTCACATGCCAGTTCATAGCCTGTAGAATGTTTTAGTATAGCGTTCTTGTTTATACACTGGACCAATGTCACGAATCGGTTGCAAATACTATTATTATATTATTACTACTGAGTGAGGAAGGGGCTTTTTCACAGACATCATGATTATGTAACTGAGCGAGAGGACACAGAATATACATGTAAATACTGATGTAGTGAGTGAGGTACTGTGACAGAAAGATGATAATTTAATATAATAACAGTCCCCTTATGAAACCACATTTAAATGAGATAAAACTGGATTTCTATTTGGATCTGCAAAAAAAAATTTCACATTCAAAAACGTCAGTCCCATAAAGATGCCTTATTATTTTCATCAAGATCCATGAATGATTCAGATCTGATTCAGATACTTGTGACAAACCACCCAGCAAACCAAGCCTAACATGGCTCCTGGGTGATAATGAGAGGGTAAAAACTACACACATCTGTTTGAAGAAATCTCATCTGAATACCTTCATACTGCAGAAAATGTGAACATGGTTATTTAAGGAAAAACCAAAGTCAGTTTTTTTTTCTCTTTTTAAAGCCATGCTTTAATACATGTTGTTACAAATCTGGAATGTTTGGGAGGGAAAATTAAAAAAACAACCAAAATTGCAACATTTCAAGGCACCTTCAAGAGGAACATGGTCAAATTTCAGCTTAACTCTGCAAAGTAAATGACAGTCAGATAACATAGGCCTGGAACTACTTTATGTCTGGTTTGCAAAGTGACATCGAGTCATTTTGAATGTCATATCTGCGTATTTCTTATCAACTCCTCATCCCCCAACCAACTGTGCAGGATTACTTGATCTCAAAGCTTCTGATGCGAGCTTCCCCCTCAAAGCTCATGAAGGAGTACTTCTCCGCCCCGATGCGGTTGGGGAAGTGGATGATTGAGCCATCTGATAAAGTCACCAGGAACTCCTGAGGGGTGAATTCAATGACGATCTAGAGGGTAAGGTGGGAGACGGAGAGAAAAAGAGGAACAATACAGAGAGAAAGACGTTAAAATACAAACTTCTAATCCACACCTGGATGAAGTATTTCGGTTTTGGATTTTTTTTAAATTTCCAACAATAATTACTAAAGTTGCCAGGCATGGGAGAGATCACATATGACAGGAACACATGCAGGACTAGAATATATGTACATGCAGAATTCAGGCTCAGGATGAGCTGCAAAGGATTGTCAGGATACATAACACACAGACACACACAGACAGACAGACACACACTACTCTGCTCACCTTGAACTCCTCTCCTAGCTGGAAAGGAAAGCCTCCCTCACGGAGCTCCTCACACCACTGTCCTCCAATGTAAGAGTTGCACACCACTGCATTCTCATCTCCATGGGCGTTAAAACGAGGGTTGATGTGCATCACGATGTCCTGGTCAGTGGGGCCAATATTCAATGCAAAACTGCAGGACGCACAAGAGAAAAAGCATTCACCACATTTCATTAAGCTCCTCGTGTGTTTCAAATGGGTAAACAGCAGTCAGCAGCTTTGTTGGCGGAATACAGTTATCAAGTTATCAACTTAAGATACTGTTTCACATGAGCACTCACTTTGTTGCATCAGGTTTGGGTACTCCAATAATGGTCATGGTCTGTCCGACCTTGAAGGACATGTTCTTTATCATCATGTTCTGCACAGACAAAGAAGCACATGTTACTGACACAGTAGCGACATTGTGAGGTAAAAAGACTGGGTTTTACCAGAGCCAATTATTATTGCAACTACATGCAGATAACAAAAACACTAGCAGCAGCAGGAGCCTCGGCCAATTCTCCAATCCTCACTCCATCTGTAGAAACACATGTTTTCAATTATACTGATGGGTTGCTCACAGATTCCACCTCTTTCCGTTGCCTCTTTTCCACTACGCCATATCTTGGCAGAGATTCAGTTGGGAAAAAAGGCTGAAAGCAGCAGGAATCCTCAGTTACTACTGTACATGTGGCAGGAGAATACTGAGCTGTGTTGTGGTTAGGAAATTATTATTGAGCAATTTGTTATGTGGTTGTGAAACACAAATCGCCACTGTTTAACAGTTTGTCAAATGGGGAACAGTGATCTGTCACCATGTACAAAAACAGCAACCATTTGAGGATTCACAAGTTTTCACAATAATGTTAAATATCTGTGGTAGGGTTGACGGAAATATGACAAAGAATCGGAAACATGAGCAGAGCAATCTACTGGTCGTGGAAGCGATTTGAAAACCTTAATACTTTTGTGAAATGTTTTTTTTTTACTTGACAGTATATCATCAGAGGTCGATCGTTCTCATATCCCTTCAGGGAAAAGGAGCCAGAATTTGAATGCGAGTTTTATGCACTGCAGCTGTTGTTAATGTTAGATACAGTGAACAGGAGATGAGACTTTGAAAGGAATTAATTCAGTTGATAAAGTTCAAGGAGTTCACAGAGATGAAATCACATTGCTCCCCAGTGAAAATTTGTGATTGAAGTCCTTTATTAAAAAGCCTTTACCCAGAAATAGTGTTGGTTTGTTGGTTCTGGCAGAAATCTAGAAGCTAAATGTGGAGTAAAACCATAGAAAATGAATTGAAGGGGAGGAGGATTGGATGACATGGGCTCGACATTCTTTCCATGCTCGAGTCCAACTGTAAAGTGTATGTATGACACATGGCACCGGGGTGGGAGCTACAGTATGTGCTGTGGGGGGCTGGGCTGCAGGCTGAAGTCAGCTGCCACTCTGCGTTTCTCCCTGATTCTGCTGTCTAAGGGCAACTGCATATTGTGAAAGACAGAAAAACCTGCTACCAAGTAACAAGAAACACTCCAAGTTCATACACAAACAGGGATTGTTTTAATTAAGAGGCATTTGCTGACAGTGGCCTGTGTCATGAAAAACAACCTCCACTATTTGCCACTCCTGATTTCTTTGACTCCAGGGGGTACATTTGAAAATCACTGCATCTATTTTACCCACTGAATGATGACTTTATTCTATTTAACGCTTTAATGTGATTTAAGCCTCCTGACCCTCGCTCCCCGCTGCCTTTTCCAAACACATGATCTGTAGTCAAGCAAGAAGCCGGAATGATACAAAGCCTTTGTTGTAATTCAAGAGGAAACCACAATGCATTGCTCTGGATACTGAGACTGAGAGAAGGCATGACTCTGACATATGTATGATGTATGCCTGAATGATGAACTTTCTTTTTCATGAGCCTTCTTTAACACCACATGCTCTGCTCTGTAGCCAAAGAGACATTTCCATGCAAGTGCAATACAGATTTTACATTTCTTTTTTCAGTGTGATCTAGTTATCAGAGGAAGTATATCACAACACAGGCTGCTGACTTTCTCATGCATTTGCAGTAGTTGATATCTCGGTTGAAAGGTGACCAGTGTGCAGTGAATATTTTGACCATAAAAGGCAATGAAACCAAATCCGCAAGGCCAGAAAATCTCACTAAAAGTTAAGACACAATGAGACGCTTCTGTTAAAGCACAGTCCAGCTGGTCCGGCTACATCAGCAGGGCATAGGCCGAGCTGACAAATGCCAGTCATCCTGTTTGTACACTTTGAAAATATACCCTGACAGTGCTTGACCAGCTGAGTCGTAAAACACAGAGAGTAGAAGACATGCAAGAGCACCGTTCTGTAGATCTGTGTAAATGATACTTACTTTCATCATTTTTGCAGATGTGGTCCAGGAGCTCGGCTGGGAAGAAATGACAGTGCTGCAGGCAGGCAGGGCCTTGCCCCTCTGCAGCCTGAGTGGAGAATATATACAGAGTGGGAGGCTCCTTCGACCAGAGTGACATTTCAGACAGTCAATAGAGTCCAGCCATTAGTGAACGTCGACAAACTGATTCAAAGTGACGTTATCCACTGTAAATACTTAATTTATCGCTTAACAAGTGATCTCAGACTTTAGTGAAGAGCAGGTAACTGGTGAAGGATCATTTTTTGATGTGAGACTGCTACACTGGAAGTTTTAGGTTGTTGAGTCTGACTGCGAGGGGGAACACAAGCCAGAGGGGCAGACAGAAATAGAAATTAATTAGTTGCCAGGGAGACGTCTAAATATTTAGCTCACAGCCAGGAGCCTTAATGTCGAGTTAGTTGGCATGGGCTGTAACTTTCAATGGGATCAGATGGCAGAGTGTGACTGCAGAGTAGAAAAACTTTATTGAGGAGAGGAAGCAGACAGAGTGAGATGACACTCAAACTGAGTCAGTCCCTTGATTTAGATGGAATCTGTGACTCACAGCTGGAAATAGATGACACTTTCATCTGTTGACACACAACTGATACAGCTGCTCTGACTCACACACGTGCATGTCTTACAAACTAAAGATTACAGTCAGCAGGAATTTCATGTAAGAGACGGATGTAAGAGGAGGAGCAACTGTCAGGGATCAAATAAACACATTATTAGGAACTTGCATTGACTTGCATTCATTCATTGCAGTGATTTGTCTGCTGGTTCAGACGTTTGTCTTCACTGTCTCCAGCTGCTCCTCTCTCCTCCACGTCCTCTCCATACTCTCCAGCTCGTTCTCCGTCTCACTCTCACCGGCTTGTCAAAGAAGGCCAGGTAAAATTTGGTGCAAGCTTGTCTCTTCTTTGTTTCTTTTGTCCTTTTGTCTCACCTCCTCCTCGAGCTTCGTCCATTCACTTGCTCCTTCAGAGCCTGGTTCTCCTCATCCACCTCCACCTCTCAGCTCCAGCTTGTCTCTGGCTGAGGCTGCTCCTTGTGCAGACTTGCCTCCAGACTCTTGCACTTGGCCTGACACTCAGGAAGCTCGGTCATGCAGAGTATATAGGCAATGCAGCGAGCTCGCTGTTTCTTGGTTTCTTTTTTTAAGAGACCATCTTTGTCTTTCAGCGTGTCCTTGAGCTGCTCCACCTCCTTCTTCAGAGACGAGTTTCCATCTTTAAAAGCCTTAGTCTCACCGACGGGTAGGAAGAGTTCGGCTCTGAGGCACGTCACGAGGTCTTGCTGCTGCATGGTTTACTACTTCTTGATGAAGCACTGAAGAAACTTGATCTCAAGTTTAAAAAGTTAAATGCACAGTTTTCTCTCGTCTGCTCAGTTGTTTGTAGTCTTCTTGTCGGTTGGTGGCTGTCGAGGATTTGTTCTCTCAAGAAGCTTCTTCTCTCTTCGGGATCTCGGAGGCAAATTACATTTGTCTACAGGTGACATAATGAAATACTTGCCAAATTGTAACTCTGAACATTCTAAACATTTCTGCACTGTCATGTGGTGCACACACCACTAGACAAGGAAAGACGCACGCTCTCTCTTGCATGCAAACTCACTACGCACACAGCGTAAACCTATTGCTATTCCTCAAAGAAGCTACCCACCTCATTTAACATGCTCCTATCATTAGCTTAAGTTCCCCGTCAACTTGTCCTCAAACACAATCATCTCCACATAAACCAAATAAAACTCACCTATAAAAAATCATTTTCTGAAATATATTTCAATAAAAATAGACTGGAAAACCTTCCTTATCAATCACCATAGCAACCAGATGCTTAGATTTCAATTTGAAGCTGATTTTGATCCAATACCACAGTTAATCTTCCTACTGTTAAAATAAACCACTCACATTGACGTCTGGTCGAAATAAACCCTTATTTCACAGAGTAAGATGTGAAAATAATATAAATTATGGGCCTGAATTGTACAGGTTACTCACTTATCTCAGTCAGGGTCAAAGAGGAGTAAACTTGAACTATAGTATTTAAAGCAAAGCCAAAAAGACAACAGCCAATCAGAGTTCTCCTTTCAAAGCTGTCCAATCAGATTCATCCTGTTTTCCTGGCAGCAGTGGAGTTATTGATGGACTGTCACTGCCAATCAAAATCTAAGCATCTGGTTGCTATGGTGATTGATGAAAGTTTTCCCAGTCATTTATTTCACTAAATACTTTTTTTTTACTCTGTTCATAAGGATATTTTGATGACTACATTTGATTTACATTTGAAATTATAATAATGTTATGAATAATGGTATTTAATTCCATTTAATTATATGTTTAAAACTTTTGAAAACACGTGTAATTGTCTTTGTATGTGTGTAAAAAAATCCTTTACTAATCCTTAGTCCCACAAACAGATGCTCAAGATCAAACTATATGAATAAGCCAACCAATAATTTGGATGCCGAATGTTCTGTGGATTAACCAACAAAGCTATATTTTGCGCTATAAATAAAACGATAAGCTAAAAACTACACTTCATTAAAAATACAGATTTAGCAAACTTTTAGAAAGATACTATTAAAGGTGAAAAGTGGTAATCTTGTTGTACTATTTGGACTTAAAGAAAAAGCTGCACACCTAAATTATATTGACAACTAAAGCCCAACACTGTTCAGTATTAGTCAAGTGCTGACTATTGTAATGCTGCTAACTGTTGTACCATGCTGCACAATATTTTTGCCAACTGAAAGTATGGTGCACACTCAGACACAGCCAGGTTTTCAGCTGTTAGTTCGAAATGTTAACTCCTGACACCAGTGTCCATCTTGTTCATCTTCAACACCTGGCGTGTGTCACTGGTCCAAAGACTGAACACTATCAAGGCCACAGCTTGATCTATATTGACCTGCTCCTCAACAAACAGGGAAGTGCTTTCCTCATCATATAATTATATCTGAAGTTTTATCTCTCCAATTGACGTATCTCAGAAGATAATACGACTCTGAAATGCAGTTCTTGCATCAGATGTTCAATCAGGCACAGACACTTGTCACATTTCGTCTTGCCCTAATAACTAGTCTCAAGACAGTAAGTAGCTGCAGTATATATACACATAGTATTTATGATACACACTGTATGATGTACTCCTTATTATAATACTCATACAATACTCAGTAGCCCATCAATATACCTTTGTAAATATGTCCACACATTTTTACATTATTAGCATGGGAGAGATGATCTACAAATGTCATATGCAAGACATTTTGAAGAGGGCTAAGCTGAATACTACAGAGATGTCATTGTCCTCATTTTGTTTTAGTATGTTTGTGTGTGTGTTATTTGTCCCTGCTTCTATCCATATTTGAAACTTTGACCACACATATTGACCAGGACTCCCTGGCAAAAGAGATAGTGTACCTCAATGAGACCTTCCTGTTTAAATATTGGATACCTCACTCAATCAATCAATCAATAAAGGACATTGCATCTGGTCTGGATTGTATTTAGCAGAGCGAGGAGGGGACTTTCTGGATTGTTTTCCCAACACAATATCACCCACTCTGCTGAACAATACAGCACTGCTGAAGGATGATGAAATTATAATGAGCAAAGTGTAATTTGAGAATCCCTATATTTGTCTCAGTGACTCTGTTAAATTAGTTTTTTGACTTTCAGTTTAGATTAAACTCATCATTAAATCATATTTCACAGTAAAATATAAAATGTTTGAACTTTGATATAAGCTGAAACTAAATCAAAGTTATTCCATTAGAAGAAAGTGTTATTATTGTATTACTACTATTATATTACTACTACATAAGATCATTACATCTGTTTCATGAAAGTTGCATCAACTCGAACATCGTTTATGTTCAATTCTTTCATCATGCAAGCTCTTAAGTGTAAAACCAGAATCCTTGTATTTGTCTCATTGTCGATTCTGTTAAATTAACAGTAAGAGAGTAGATCACAGAAAGTGCTGTTATTATTCTAGTACCATTGTATTCCCACATAAGCTCGTTACATCTGTTTCATGAAAGTTGCATCAACTGAAGTTTCACTGTGATTACACCTGGTCAACCTGTAATCATATGAACGACCCCCTCACTGTGATTGGTCCACAGGTTTCATGTTCACAGACACCGAACCACTATTGGTGGAGAGACAGGAAGTAGGCGTGTACACACGAGCCTTCTTTATTATTATGAATGAGGCAGATGCTCTTATTTCTAAATGGCTCGAACACAAACTGACGCTCAAACAAACCGCGTGTGATGTTAAAGGTAACTATTGTCAACTGTTTGACTCGGTGTTAGCGGAGGTGAAGCTACTGTTAGCACTGCTCTGACCTGTGTGTGTGTATGTGTGTTTGGTTGACAGGACTCCTGACACACACACACACACACACACACACACACACACAGAAAAAACATCAACAGCTTCAGATCCAACACTGGCACAGAAATGGCATCGCTAGCTGCGGCGGATGAGCCAGGTTCGAGCCCGGGCTACATCCCGCTGGCTGATGCTTTAGCCCCCGCGAGTATATTCGCTCCGGACCGGGGAGGATGCGGGGACGACACCGGGGACGAGTGCTTTGAGGACGAGGACCTGATCAACGGCGAGCCCGAGGACCGCGGGGTTGACTTCACCAACAAGGTAAACTAGGCCCTGGACGTATCAGCTACGTGTGGCTAATGTTAGCTTGCTGCTGCTAACGAATGAATGAAACAAATGCTGTGTTATTAGCAAACACTGTTAGCTTCTCTGCACTGTTGCCTCCCAGCACCTTGGTAATAAACTGCACACAACACTGGGTTTGTGGAGTCGAGGGATTTGTTGTTGCACTAGCAAAACACACCGCAGCTAACGTTAGCCTAGCCGGACTGTTTATTATTCATTACTTAGAGAAAACCTTTATGCTAACACTAGCACGTCTGTAGCTTTCTTTATTCACTATCAGGCTGTGAGTGAGGAAACATGAGAACAACACGAACCAGCCCACAGGCTGATGAAACACAGGGCAACAACACACGGAGG